GGCATTAAGGCGCCATGTTGGCATTAAGGTGCCATGTTGGCATTAAGGCGCCATGTTGGCATTAAGGCGCCATGTTGGCATTAAGGCGCCATGTTGGCATTAAGGTGCCATGTTGGCATTAAGGCGCCATGTTGGCATTAAGGTGCCATGTTGCCGTTAAGGCATCATGTTGGTGTTAAGGCTCCATGTTGGGGCTGCTGGCTGGCAGCAGCTGTTATTACAGGATTACAGTTCATCTCATGGGATTCATCTCAACAAAAGGCAGAAACTTGCAGGTCAACATTGCAGCTGCAGGACAAAACAGAAATGGAAACAAAATGTTCTCAGGCGGCTCAGAGTGACAGGTGGAGAGAAACAATGAACATTCATGAAGCAAGGGAAAATCCTTTAATGATGGTGGGTGAAGCTGCAGCTTTCTTCTCACGCAGATGTGAAGCCAGCTTTGTTTTCATGTCAGACAAAGATATGGTGGCCTGTTGGCCTGCAGCAGCAGCATGATGCTATAAAGCCTTCCTCCTCCTCCTCCTCCTCACTAGAGACAGGACTCACCCGTCACAAAGGCAGTCTGAGGGCTCAGGCTCCAGATTTGAGCTGTGAGGTCATCATCGTAGGTGAAGGTGGCGTTTGCGGTCTGGCTCATGTTTCCCACCGTTACCGTGACAACCTGTGACCCCGCAGCTCCCTGGAAGAAGAGGCATCATAGCAGCACAACTGGTCTAACTTTAAAAGGACCAAACAGTCAGCCTTGTGGGACTCCATGTCTCACTGTGTGATGATGAGACACGGTTACGTTCTCTGTCAGATTAGATCTGAAGCTGCTGCTGCCAGTTAGACCCTGAGATCAGACACAAACCACGAAACACCGACCCGCTCCTCAAGCCGAGAAACTCCCATCGGATGCTGAGCATGCCGGCGTGAAAACTTACTGCTGGGGTTCTGCAGGTCAGCTCGGTGTCGGCTGCCTGGACGACCTCGCAGTCCTCGCCGCCGACCATTACCGTGGCGACGTGTCCGAGGCCGAAGCCGCTCACCGTCAGCAGGGTGCCACCTGGGCAGGAAGTCAGAGGCAGAATGAAGACGCTGAAGCTCCAGGTGAGCGACAGTCAGGCGCCACACACCTGCAACGCCTCCAGAGGTCGGCGAGAGCGAAGACACGATGAGCTGCTGGGTGAAGTAGAGGACGCTGTCGGCGGCGAAGCGCGCGTTGCCCAGAGACGGGAAGTTAACGGACACTGGGTAGCTTCCTGCGCTGGCTCCGCCCACTCTGCACACCTGAGAGGAAGCTGGAACACATCAAGCATCAGTTCAGTTACAGGAAACAGAATCAGAAACAAACCATTCCACATGACCCCATAGAGGTCCAAACGTCCCAAAAGGACGTTGCAGGAAGCGTTTCCTCACCTGTGACCTCTTCAACGACACACCTGGAGCTTCCCACCATGATGGAAGCATTTTCCGAGCTGAATCCCGTCCCAGTGATGGTGATCAGCGTTCCCAGTCCATTGGATCCTGGAACGATCAGGAATATTGGTCCAGGTGAAATTTTTTTCCCTAACTGACAAAGCTGCAAAGATCTTCTATTCACATTTCCGAAGAGGACCAGGAAGAGTTGGTAAAAATCTGGGAATTATAGAAATTTTCCGGGGAAAGAGTTTTCCCATCAAAGTAAACTTTGAAGCTGGATCAAAAGAAACCAAAATGGAGCTGAAGGAAGTTTGGCTGTCAGGATTTATGTGATTTTTTTACTTTTTATCTATCCAATAAAAAGTTAGTTTAGATTTTTTTTAAGTATGTTTAGGACCAGTCAGAGGTAAATCTGCTCGCTGTCCATGTTTTCCTGATCCTCCGTGTGACTCCGGAGCGCTGAGATCCCACCTGCTGCTGCAGGGACTCACCTCGAGTCGGGCTGATCCCCGTCACCACCGGCGTCTCCTCCTCCGACCAGCGGAAGCTGCAGCGTCCGGAGCAGTTGGAGGGAATGCCGTTGATGTAGACCTCCACCTGCAGAGCAGCACACCTGTTCTGAAACACTGCAGCTGGTCAAAGCAATCAGAGTTTCTAGTTTCTAGCCCTGAAGGCCCAACAGTTGAATCACAGTAGGTGAACACAAACAGGCTGAAACAGCCAGGTGAGCTCCGGGAGTACCTGCGGCTCTGTTTCCCAAACCCGGAAAAAGTCCCCGGTCAAGCCCCGGGTCAGCAGCCCTCCCTTTGTCTTCTCCTGGACCAGGAAGGTCACGTTGTTCCCGACGACCGCCGAGTCGTCAACCTGGAGGGAAATGAAGAATTCGTTCCTACTCCAGCTTTGTGTTTCAGGCAGATTTTACGTCCCAGACAGATCAGACCTTCATGAGCGGCTGGGCTCCAGGCCTGCTGAGCCAGGTGACCCTCCACTTGGGAAGCTTACAGGTGCCCAGGTCCTCCACCTTCACCTGGCCCGCCCCGGGGACACCCTGCAGGGCGAACTTCAGGTCCTCCGCGCTGACGTCCACAGGGAGGCCTGGAGGCACAGGGGAGACGCCTGGTTAGCATGGTTAGACTGGTTAGCATGATTAGACTGGTTAGCATGATTAGACTGGTTAGCATGATTAGAGTAGTTAGCATGGTTAGGGTAGTTAGCATGATTAGACTGGTTAGCATGATTAGACTGGTTAGCATGATTAGAGTAGTTAGCATGGTTAGAGTAGTTAGCATGGTTAGAGTAGTTAGCATGATTAGACTGGTTAGCATGGTTAAGAGTAGTTAGCATGGTTAAGAGTAGTTAGCATGATTAGACTGGTTAGCATGGTTAGACTGGTTAGCATGATTAGACTGGTTAGCATGATTAGAGTAGTTAGCATGGTTAGAGTAGTTAGCATGGTTAGAGTAGTTAGCATGGTTAGAGTAGTTAGCATGATTAGACTGGTTAGCATGGTTAAGAGTAGTT